TTTTTTTTTTTTTTTCTTCTCCCAACGATTTCTTTTCACCACCTGTCATTTTCCTTCCGTTGGTGGGGTTGTTGAACATTGCCTTCTCCACTTGGGGTGACCTTGAATGGCATAGTTATGACACAATTCAGTTATGAACGTATTAAGGGTCCCATTTATTTGTTAGTACTTATTTTTCTTTCATTTTCTCTAGGTTTAGGGCTTGGAAAAATATAAATCATTAAGATTGACTTTTTCTTTCTTGATAAGCATATTTGGGTTGAACTGTCAAATAACTAAGTTATATAGTTTAATAAATAGAATCTGTCTCTCTCAAACAGTCTATTTTATTTATCATTTTACAGATAGATACTTGCAATGGTTTTTACTGCGAAAACTTCAAACCAAACAAAAGTTCCAAACCCAAAATGTGGACTGAAGCCTGGACTGGTGGGTAAGTCGCACTATTAATACCCATATAACCCAAAAAAATTATGTTTTATTTTTTGGGTTTTATTTGTTGTTGTAAGTTTAGATTGTTTGGTTGACTCAGATATCACAACTCTTATAATTTTGTCTGAATCCTTTCTTACTTCGATTCTTCTAATTCCACTGTTTTTTTCCTCAGGGGTACAGTATTTGGTGCTTCAGTTTCTCGTAGACCTGTTGAAGACTTGGCATTTTCAGTTGCTAGGTTTATACAAAATAATGGTTCATTCGTTAATTATTATATGGTAAGTCAATTTCCGAATTATATTCTTGAGAGAAATAATTCAGCCCATGTATGATGATCTTTTTCTGTGTCAGTACCATGGCGGGACAAATTTTGGGCGAACAACTGCTGGTCTCTTCATTGCCCCTAGCTATGATTTTGACGCTCCGATTGATGAATATGGTATGATATAGGGAAACAAAAATTGTTTGTACATACAAGAGTTTTATTTGTACAAAACACACTTGCACACGCACATACACACATGTTGTGAGATCATCAATAAGATTATCAAACTTGTATATATGATACGACATTTCTGGTGAAAATTCTAATCTTTTCCCCTTGGTTATGATGATTTGGAAGGATTACTTAGAGAACCAAAATGGGGGCATTTGAGAAATTTGCATAAAGCCATCAAGCAATGTGAACCAGCTTTAGTTTCCTCTTATCCCACAGTGACTTGGCCGGGCAATAATCTAGAGGTAGATTAACCGAAAGCTATGCATATACTGTGATTTTTGACATTTGCTGCTTTTTTGACTATTGCACCCGGCCTTTTTTGTGTCATTTTTCATTTCTAGGTTCACGTATTCAACTCAAAGTCTGCTTGTGCTGCATTCCTTGCCAACTATGACACCAAATCTCCGGCAAAAGTGGCCTTTCAGAATACACGATACGACCTGCCTCCTTGGTCCATCAGCATTCTCCTCGATTGCAAAATTGAAATTTTTAACACTGCGAAGGTAGAGAAATACACTCTTCCCTCTCAAAAACCATCCTCCATTTATTTCCAAAAATTTTCCCGTCTTTTAACAATTATTTCATGCAATTTTTAATGACATGCAAAGATAATTTTATGAATATAGAAGTATCAGAAGATGTAAAGCGTGTTATATTTGACATTAATTTTGAGAAAATTAAGGTTTCGTCTTTCTTCTATGGATAATTCTTAGTTTGTTATATTGTTTTTATGAATATCAAAGTATTAGAAGATGTAAAGTGTGTTATAGTTTGATTTTTATTTTGAGAAAATTAAGGTTTCGTCTTTCTTCTATGGATAATTCTTAGTTTGTTATATTGTTTTTATGAATATCAAAGTATTAGAAGATGTAAAGTGTGTTATAGTTTGATTTTTATTTTGAGAAAATTAAGGTTTCGTCTTTCTTCTATGGATAATTCTTAGTTTGTTATATTGTTTTTATGAATATCAAAGTATTAGAAGATGTAAAGTGTGTTATAGTTTGATTTTTATTTTGAGAAAATTAAGGTTTCGTCTTTCTTCTATGGATAATTCTTAGTTTGTTATATTGTTTTTATGAATATCAAAGTATTAGAAGATGTAAAGTGTGTTATAGTTTGATTTTTATTTTGAGAAAATTAAGGTTTCGTCTTTCTTCTATGGATAATTCTTAGTTTGTTATATTGTTTTTATGAATATCAAAGTATTAGAAGATGTAAAGTGTGTTATAGTTTGATTTTTATTTTGAGAAAATTAAGGTTTCGTCTTTCTTCTATGGATAATTCTTAGTTTGTTATATTGTTTTTATGAATATCAAAGTATTAGAAGATGTAAAGTGTGTTATAGTTTGATTTTTATTTTGAGAAAATTAAGGTTTCGTCTTTCTTCTATGGATAATTCTTAGTTTGTTATATTGTTTTTATGAATATCAAAGTATTAGAAGATGTAAAGTGTGTTATAGTTTGATTTTTATTTTGAGAAAATTAAGGTTTCGTCTTTCTTCTATGGATAATTCTTAGTTTGTTATATTGTTTTTATGAATATCAAAGTATTAGAAGATGTAAAGTGTGTTATAGTTTGATTTTTATTTTGAGAAAATTAAGGTTTAGTTTTTCTTATATGAAATTTCTCATTCAAAAGGTTCCCAAAATGGGCTTTAACATTCGATCAAAATTGTTTTCAGATTAGCTCCGAAAGTTCACAGATGAAGATGACACCGGTGAATGGTGGAGTATTCTCTTGGCAGTCCTCCAATGAACAAACTGTCTCTGCCGATGATTCAGACACCATTGCAAGGGATGGGCTGTGGGATCAAATCAGCCTCACAAGAGATGCATCGGACTATCTTTGGTACCTAACAAAGTGAGTATTGTTTAATTTGTTTTAGTATGCACTTCATTATCTCTTCCCTTATCGAAGCATAAATTTTATCACAATAATAATAATAATAATAATAATAATAATAATAATAAATTGATTCATCATAGTCTAGTTTGAAACTTGAATATGATTTTCTTGTTTCATGTACTTTCTTGCTCGTGTCAGTGTGAATATACAACCAGGCGAAGCATTTTTAAAGAACAGGCAGTCTCCTACTCTGACCATTATGTCAGCAGGTCACACTTTGCACATTTTCATCAATGGGCAACTATCAGGTAAATGGACTTGTTCTGTAATTTCAATATATAATGGTGAAGTATTTTATTGAAATGAGCTTTAATTTGTCTCTTGATTTTGTAATACATGTTTATGGCAGGAACCACGTATGGATCGCTACAGAATCCAAAACTGACATATAGTGGCAACGTGAAGTTGAGAGCGGGAATTAACAAGATTTCTTTACTAAGCGTTGCTGTTGGCCTTCCGGTTAGTTCTTGTCTTAGTGACAAAATTTTACCTTCTTTGGATGTTAATGACAGTAATGGAGTCTTTTTAATGTCATACTGGATCGATTTCAGAATGTCGGTCTGCATTTTGAGACATGGAACACGGGGGTTCTTGGCCCAGTCACATTGAAGGGCCTCAATGAGGGGACAAGAGACTTGACAAATCAAAAGTGGTCTTACAAGGTTTGTTTTCTTGAATGTCGGTCTGTTTCCAAATTTATTGTGTGAATTTCAAGACGGTGAACTTCTGAGGCAATGATGAAACTTGAAAATCATAATTTAATACAGGGATACTGGGATGAAAAATAAAGCATGATATGGGAAAAGAAGCGTGTATAGTACATAAATAAGCAGTGAAAATTAAGATTGATGTTTCTATGCAGGTTGGTCTAAAAGGCGAGAGCTTGAAACTGCACACACTCGATGGAAGTTCCTCTGTCGAATGGGTTGAGGGATCATCATTAGCTACAAAACGACCCTTGACATGGTACAAGGTAATAATCATCCCAATCGCTACAGTATTTCATTTTTATTGCTCATTTATGAGTTCCATATACGTGCAAATGAGCCAAATTCACTTTTAATTCACCTAATGATCTTTCCAGACTACGTTCAACACACCAGCAGGAAATGATCCGTTAGCTTTGGATATGAGTACCATGGGAAAAGGTGAAATATGGGTAAATGGTCAAAGTATCGGGCGCCACTGGCCTGGATACAAAGCACGTGGTAACTGTGGCGGCTGTAGCTATGCTGGAATTTTTAATGAGAAGAAATGCAGAACAAATTGTGGTGAAGCCTCTCAGAGATGGTGAGAAAAATTATCGGTTACTCTGATTTTATATTTTTTTTCTGCATATTTTAATAAATGTGATGAGGCTGTTTATTTCAGGTACCATGTGCCACGCTTATGGCTGAAACCGAGTGGGAATTCGTTAGTTGTATTTGAAGAATGGGGCGGCGATCCAACTGGGATTTCATTGGTTAAAAGAACAGCTCAATGAGGATGATTCATCCTCACTGCATAAAATTTTGTTCGAGTTGTACTTTTTGCTTGATCCAAGCTTTGCACGTCCAAGGTTGTCGAGGAAACTGATTTGGTTAGGTTGGAGGTTCAACTGTACAATCATATTACATACAAACCATTTCTTGGACCATAGAATCTAAAGGTGATTAGCAAATAAGGTTTCAGTGTGTATGCTTTTTTTTTGGTTCTTTTTTCATTTTTATTTTTATATTTAAAAAAACCATATATTTTATTTTGACCGCAAATCAATTTTCTAAAATTATATAAATAAAGAAAATCTATGAAGGTATTATGAGGGGTGCCCAAACATAGGACACACGTGTTCTTGAAATATCCCCATGTCTTGTAACAAAATGATAATTAAAAAAATTAACACGCAACATAACATATCAGACACGTGGACAAGTGTGTTTGTGGGGCGTGTTTGTGTCCAATACACAGCAGTGTGTTTGTGGGGCGTGTTTGTGTCCAATACACAGCAGTGTGTTTGTGGGGCGTGTTTGTGTCCAATACACAGCAGTGTGTTTGTGGGGCGTGTTTGTGTCCAATACACAGCAGTGTGTTTGTGGGGCGTGTTTGTGTCCAATACACAGCAGTGTGTTTGTGGGGCGTGTTTGTGTCCAATACACAGCACCCATTTTGAAGTGTCTGTGGTTCCTTCTGCTAAAATAAAAATGTGTATGTGCTTCCTTGTTTCCCACACTCGATGTAAGTTACAACGTACTGTGGAGTAAGGAGACCACCGATTTGACAACTTCAACATCAATATAAAGATGTGCTCACTGAATTGCAATCACTGATGATTATAAACAGTTCACCAATATTGTTTTATAAAAGAGTTACAACAAGAATTTGAGAATATTTCACACATTTACAGATACAAATAAAAATATGATAATCATTTCTTACAGACAAAATTACAAAACTGCCTTTAATTAACAAAGAGGCATTTCTAACTATACAAGATCTCAGAAAGAAGATAATTTAAGACTCAAGGCATCAATGGCATCACTCAGATCCTTCGAATTCTGAAATACATCTTGTCCTTGAATCCTCCATCGCGCTAGTCTACTGCGAAGATCACTTAGCATCAGAAATCCATCATCCTTATCAATTTTGATGTCAAGTAGCTTCTTCATACAATTAAGCAAGTATTTGCCAGACCTTAGTTTCACCCGGCAAATAAAATCTATCCGTCTCCCTTCAGTGTCAAACAAAGAAGCCGACATACTCTCAACAACATCAGTTAAGTGGAAGACAAGGCGAGTTCCTGCTACAGCCTCCTTTTTACTACATTTTTCAAACCACGCAGTTGACTCTTCTTGTCCTTGAGAGTTCCATTTTCTATTCTTCAATCCTGCAATCTGATTTTCCGTCAAATGAAGTAAAGTACCAGTTGCAGCATAATGCAGCAGCAATTGACAACCATCTTCATTTATTCCATGGGAGCACCCAATCAAAATGCCCAATGGAATTTTCCAAAATAACATGTTTTTCTGAGGGCTAATCCCATGGGACGCTTTTGCTTCATGGGCTGCAGAACTATTGACAGTTTTATTCCAATAGTTTATGTACATATCTTGAAATTTCCCAAGCCATAGTTGGATAGTTTTGCAATCATATTCCTGTAAGAGAGCATAATCAACCTTGCTGTCTTGGAATTTGGATATCTTGAGTTTCTTCCTATAGCTAGCTGTTTCTTTGCAATATTTGTCTGTGCATTTCTTGAGAACCCATGACTCAGATATTTTACCCAAACATTCAACAAGTAGTTCCTGATGAGATTCGCTGATTGGATTCAGAATCCATGCAATGTAACTTGCAGCAGCAGTGGACCAGGGAAGTTCGACATCATGTGATTGTTCAGTTTCAGTGGTCTCTACTGTGCCTTTTGAATGGAAATTATCTTCGAGGCCTTTTCCAGCGAAGAGTGACATTGAGGCAAAAAAGAACCAATTTGGGAAGTTCATCGCCATAGCCCTGTTATGCAATAGTAGTATGTAGAAACATGAACTTCTAAAAAATATATATATATTAAATTTTTTACCAGCAAATGTAGAATCACTTTAACGTCACGACAATAATTGTTTTGATGAGAAATCAAAACGTACCACCGAGATTTGTAATCTATCATTCCAATCTTTCTTGCATCCTGTTTAAAAGTTGGATCAGACTGTCTTCTAGCATGAGAAGCTGATTTGCTCGTACTATGAAGCAAATATATAAAGTTTTGGTATGATAAAGGTCCATCCAAAGTCCTTAATAAGTGATGCTTGTGAGGGAAATATGCATGAGAAAAGGGTAGCTTCAGTGCAACTTCCATCGTTATGCCCCACCACATCGGTTTTGAAACTACATCAAGTATCATCGACACCAATTCAATTTGAAGCTCTAACACATAAGCCAAACCCCTGTTATACGTAACCAAGCCTAACAAGTTTAATAGTGGATAAGATATATTTTCTTTATTGATATTAATTTAATATTATATTATCGAATGAAAAAGTGACACATTATTACATTCTTTCTGACAAGGGTTTTTTCTTTTGCCAATGATGTCATCTACTGAAAATGACCTAAATTTCAGAACCTATTCCTTTTTTAATATATCTTACCATTTATCCCATCAATAGCTCATTATGGAACCTCAATCTGTGACACATATGATGCCTGTAAATCTATCATCTAATTATTTGCAGCAAAACCTTGGTATTAACATATTATACTAATGCAAAAATGACAGCACACACCTAGAGTTTAAGTATTATGCAATTCAATTCAATGAAGAGATCATATAAACTTTTATAATGTAAAACATAATAAGCCAGTAAATATAGCTGATTGATTTCTGAAATTACACAACCCCTGTACAAATTAGTCAACGAGGCACAAGTTTGAGAAAAGTAGAAAAGATGGTTAAGTTGTAGAAAGAAGCTATTATATCAGAAAAGCTACACGTGACACAACCTAAAGTTTAGAGTCAATTGCAAGCTATAGTTGCAAACTTGGTAGGATCTATGAAACTGAAGCTCAAATGGGCAAGAAATCAGATTTAGTCTCTCTGATTTTAAAAATTTAAGTTGAAGTTATTACAAATTAGTTGAACGCATTGACAATTTTACAAGGATTTAACACAGTTCTCACAAAGAGATGCATACTGCTGCTGCATTTCTCTCAACACAAACTTATAAGTGACAGCTAATGTTCGACACACAAGCAAACAAAACAGGCAAAAAGAGGATTTCTTTGCCCAACCTTTTGGAACTTATCATGTAGTCACTAGAAGTATCATCAAAGTTTTACACAGGTGAACACTAGTTACAGTCATAACATATGATAAATTTATAGTTCCTTAAAGCATGGTAAAAGGTAATATCAATAAGAATGTAAAAAAGTTTAGCAACTTACGTCATCAGAAACCAGTTATGCAATAGGGCTCTGGTCTCAACAAACATAGCAGGAGAAAGTGCCAAGCATATGATTATGGAACGCCAATCCATCCTCTCATGAAATGCAATATTCAAACAAAGGAAAGGTCTACCACTAGAAGCTTGCAATATATGTGACACGTTGTTAGAATTTACCTTCACCTACACCACTATCACCTCACCTACTCCACTAAACCTAACCCACTACTTCACCCACTCTCTACCTACTTCACCCACTTAAACCTACTCCACTAAACCACCTCACCTACTCCACAAAACCTAACCCACTACACCACTACCACCTCACCTACTCCACTAAACCCACTACACCACTACCACCTCCACTTCACCTACTAGCTATACCAAACACAGCCTTAGTTTCTCGCAATTATACCAATGTCATTGTGGAATGTTAATCCATCCATAATCGCGATCAACGGTTGTTAGCCCTCCTTTTAAGTAGCTCAATTCCTGTTTAGAGAGAAACATGAGATTGGGGGGAAGGTTTTTTTTTTTTTTTATTCTTTGAATTGATTAAAACTAAGCATATTTGGAAAAACTGAGAACAAAAAATTGTTAGTACCTTTTCGCGGTACCAAGGAAGCTTTTGTTCATAGCCATGGTGATGCAAGTAAGTAACGGTGTCATAAACAACTAGATAGACAGATTCTCACCAAATATATAGGGTATGCAAACATGGGGAATGGAACTTTAAATCTTAGGATTTTGGTAGATTCATCCAAAGTCTTGTATATCTTCTCAGGCAACTGTAACCATAAGAGTAATTAATTAAATACTAGCAGATATGAAACATTGGAACCATAAAAAAAAATATATAGAAATGCTATGTATCCAGAAAAAAAAAAATTCGATCTGCACATTTCAAATTCTAAACACTTTTCTGGATACATAACATTGCTGAAAAAAAAAAAATTATCAAGAATATTGTTAACTACTAAAAAAGATGAAAATATGAATGGATTAATAGAAAAACATAAGCAGAGAGGAAAAATTATAGAAGTATTACCGGTACCCATGATTATAGATCGCCACGGGTTCTTGACCCAGCAGTGGCTAGGAATGGCACCTGAGCCAATAAGAATAAGCAGCATTAACAAAAGAAAACACAGAGTTAGAAAGAACCTCAAACACCCCATCTCCAACCTCAAGAACTGCACAACAAAAGATAAGCCAACAAAAACATCAAGTACCACAGAACTCGTGCACAAATCAACTAATATCAAAAAGAGAAATTGAGAACATTTTGCGATCGGATACTTCCATTGATAGAGCCAACAAAAGAGTTCAAATTTCTTTTTTTTTTTTTTTTGGTTTCAAATCAGGACTAACAACGCAGTTACACGACATGAACAACAGTGCTGACTGAATTTCAAGAATAGATCACCAATCTGTGCAATTTCTCTGCTAAGCACACTATCATTAACTTCAGGGAAATTATAACAATTATAACAAATAAAAAAAACCTAACCATCCATCTATATGAATTTTAAACAAGCCATAGTCTTTATACCTGAGACATCAAATGTACCACCTCCAAGGTCAAATACTAGAATGGTTTCATTATTCTTCTTCTCAAATCCATAAGCTAATGAAGCAGCAGTAGGTTTATTGATGATACACAGAACTTCTAAACCAGCAATACGGCCAGCATCTTTTGTTGCTGTTCTCTGGGAAAGGGAAAGTGAAGAGATTGGAGATCTCCTCCTCCTCCTCCTCTCTTTCTCTCTCTCACACACACACATCCGGACTTGAAGCAAAGACTTAAGTCTAGTTCAACGAAGTAGAGAGTGAAGAAAAGAAGAAAAGGATGTGTTTAGACACAAATCAACTTGTAGTTTCTTGCTTACAATTTCAATTTCAATATCAATAACCAAATCGAGAGAGACGGAGAGACGGGAAGAGCTTGAGAGAGAGAGAGAGAGAGAAATCGATACCTCGCTGGTGCAGATGGCGATGGTGATGGCGGTGGCGGTGGCGGTGGCGGTGGCGGTGGAGCTTCGAAATCGAAATCGAAATTAGACATTCAGATGAAATCAAAATCAGAGAAATCGAGCTGGTGCAGATAGTGGTCGCGGTGGAGCTTCGAAACAGAAATCGAAATCAAAATCGCTCTGAATCTCAAAGATGAATCTGTGAGAATGATGAGGGTTTAGAGAGGGTTGAGCGAGAGGCCAGATTTGAAGGCGTGAGGATTCAAAATAATTACAAAGCCTTTAACAATTATTCTCAGATTCAAAATAAGCTTCGAAATTGAGAGAGAATCACCGAAACACAGATTTCGAAATCGAAATTGAGAGAGAGAACTTCGATTAGGGCTATAGCGAGAGATGACTTGATCCGTTGAGACGGTTAGAGAGAGAGAGAGAGAGCGCTAACGAGAGACAGAGTGAGTGAGTGAGAGATTAGGGCTAGAATGTATTATATTTGATATTCACCCGCTCACTCATTTAAGAGAGAGAGAGATAGGACTTTCGAAGACGTTTTCAAACGCCTTTGGTTTCTAAAACGGTGCCGTTTTGATATTAAACAAAAGCGACGTTTAAAAAACGTCGTTAAATATGATAAAACGCGACGTTTAATAAAACGCTGTTAAATAAACGTCGTCTAAACCCACATTTCTTGTAGTGAATGGTGAGAAAGACAATGTAAAAAAGAGTTGATGTAGTTGTCATGGATAAACCCATGATCATGCGAACAAACAGAACAATTTGGATTTGGTCTGTGTAACTTGTGTCTAATATTATTAGTGAGTTTGCTATTTATAGTGCAATGTCTGGTCCATAACTAAGACATTTTGTGCGACATTCCAAATTGGAGTTGAATAAGGCATTGGATGCCTTAATCAAAAGACTAAAAGATAATAGTGTTGTTGAATTATTGAATATTTATTGACTGATGAAAGTAAGAAATATGATTATATATAAAAATTACACATGTTGTGAGTGTGAGTGTGAGTGTATGTAAACTTAGTAAAAAGATTTATAATTTATTAAGAATTTATAGAAATTTGTTCTGAAAAAAAGACAATGTTATAAGCTTTGATCTTCCTAGGTTCTTTTATTAAAAATGGACTATAATCGGTGCTAATAAAAAATCAAGGGGAAATTACCATTCAATTGTAATCATTAAAAATTATTATAGGTTAATGAAAAAGTGTATTTATTAGATTAAGTAAATCCAAACGATTAAAAAAAAAATGATTAAAACATTAAAAAAAATACAAATTAAAAATTAAAAAAATATTTTATAGCGTTTGGTAACATTTATGTTTTTTGTTTATGTTTACAAAAATTTAATAAACTGGTTTTTGTTTATTTTTAAAAAAACATAAATTACAAACGCGTTTGGTTTGAACAAAATATTTCAAAATTTTTAAAAACATAAACTAAAAAATGTGTTTGTTCAGGCCTAAAATATTTATATATATTTTTTATTATTCCCATTTTAAAATATTTAGGTGGCGACTCTGTATCTGGCAAAGCAGTCCATGTTTGGCACTACTTTTTCAAAAATCTGTTTCTCAAAACGATTTGCCAGATTTGGACTCTTTGGTTTAGATTAAGAACCGTGGTACAAATCGAGTCCGAACTGTAGTAGCATGAGGCCCGCGGGCGCGTCTACAGGAATATAAAGCAATATTGCTCACCCTTGAAGAACACTTCAAGAACAGCAACTCTAGCCCACTCCTCTGATCAAAACCAACCTAAAAGCTCTGAAATCAGTCCCTTAACACCTTAACAACTCAAGTATGGTGTAACACTAGGTGTTTTAGTGCAAAACTAAGAACAAAACACATTTTAAGGCACTCTAACACACACAAATGTAGAGAGAGAGGAAGATATATATATATAGAGAGAGAGGTATATCAGATATATATGCCTGATTTGCTGAACCTCTCTAAAGGAAGGAAGGGCATCCTTTTATAGAACAAACAAGGGGCCAAAGTTTCTTAGAGAAGGTAAGGCAAATGGGCCAAGCTTCCTCAAGAAGCTAGACCAAAGGTCCAAGCTTCTTGGGGAAGCTAAGACAAAGGGTGCAAGCCTTCTGGAGGAAGCTAAGACAAAGGGTCTAAGCTTCTCCAAGAAGCTTAGAGCAAAAGGGTGGAAAGGGTGCAAGTTTTCCATACACGTGTATGGAGGACAAGTCCGTGCACTCTAGCTGGCACAACTGGCATGCATAATGCTTGAAAAAGGCAAAAAGGAGGTACCGGCCAGAAAAAGAGACAACCGGCCAAATAAATAGCCGATCGACTAGATATCCGTACCGATCGACCAAACAATTGGTCGGTAGAAAGAAATAAAAGCCGGTGGCTTCATGCCACGGCCGGTGGGTTTAAGGGATGGCTAACAAGCCACTTCCTACCCTCAGGTGCAAGAACCACAAGTTCTTGGTCCATAACCAAGCACAAAACAGTCAAGTCGAGAGATCCTAAGGCAAGGCGCGCAGCCGAGTCCTTCGGGATCTGAAAATGAACACGAACATGGATGATCACCAAGTGTTCAAATGATGACGTCCAAGTCTTGAGGACGGTCAAAAATGGGGTGTCTACAGTTGCCCCTCTTTGACAGAACTCAAAAGTCATAACAATGATGGGAGTGAATGTCAAAGCCCAGAGACGACCCATTTTTGACAAGGCCGAAGACTTAGACAAAGCATACAAGCTACAGACAAAGATATGTGCCCGAAGGCAGGGGCAAAATGCAAGAACAATGCACAAAGTCGAGCATAACTTATGATCATACAAAGAGAGCTATAACGAAGCAAATACATACAATAAATGCAACAGTTTTAAGCAAGCCAAAACCACTACATTGCAATGCAGAAAGGATGTAAGAGAATTATTCAATTCTCGCTACGTTTCACACGGAGAATATAATACCTGTGCGGTCCATCTGGTTATGCCAGCTTCGAATGAACCGTACATACAATATCGTTCCTGTCCGGTTCGTCTGGTCGTGTTAGCCTCAAATGAACCGTACATACAATATCGTGCCTGAAAAAGAAAGAGAATTTAACAGGTACAATATTGTTAGAAACATGCATAACAATGCAATTGAAAGGTGCGTGACAGCGCAAGCGAAGGGGTGCATGACAATGCGGGTGAGAGGGGTGCATAACAACGCAACCCAAGTGTGTGCATAACAATGCAATTTGAAACAAGCATAACAATGCTATGAAGGCACAAACACATATAAGTAAAGTACACGCAATAATGTGTAC